GCATGTATTACATGTTCATAAATTCTATAATCAATACAATGAAATATACAAATGATTTTACACAGAATTTGCTATGCAGGCCTATACCACATTGAGCAGTTTAACTGATGTTTGACAAATTACCAATTAGAAGGAACAGCCTCTAGCAACCATTAAAGAGCTAAGCGTATTCATTAATTTTAACTCAAAAAGAAAGAGATAATCATTTTTATTCCGAAAAACATAAGTAGATGAGCCGATGATCAAAGGGACACATTAGCTGAAAAATGTTCACAAACTGCCCCAAGGGCCAGAATTTCTCTATCACTAGCAATGATGACTTCAGCGACCAAATTTGTCCTTTATTTGCATCTTGAAAATTTTTTTTTCTGTGATTTTTTTGTGCAAAGATTCACTTGACTTGAAATATACTTTATTTGTAATTGTTAAAACAGAGAATAGGACTGTAATTTGGCTGTCATTATTTGTATAAAACATCTATTATCCACCATTAAGAGTTTAGAGAATTTAAGATACAATGTCATTTGCATAGAAAGATAATTTTGAAGACAGATTTTGAGAGAGGACTATGAAATTAATGGCTTAATCTACAAAGCTGCCTTCTTATTTCAGAGACACAACCATCTGAACAGTAATTAGTATTCTAAGGGCAAACAATAACCAGGCTCCAATTTATGTGTGAAAAAATGCAATGCTACTTTAATTTTGGACAACTTACGAAGAAAGATAAATTTCCAAGTAAAAGACATTACATTCTATTTATTTTTACTGTCACTTTAAATTTTTTGGGAATATTAGGTACAACTCCAGAAAGGATTCAGATTTTATCTTCTTTTATTTTGCCACAAATCAACCAGTAAAAATCAAGAATCACAATAATGGCAACACCTTTTTAACCTAATCAGTCAAGAAAACATGAAAAACATATAAAACTAGTTAGGGATTATTGGGGGTCACTTACAACATCAACAAAATCACAAAATCACACATAAAAATCAAAAGAAAGAAAAACAATCACAGGGAGCTACAAATGCCTTGACAGGATGTGCATTTGTCCTGGGATGCCTGCAGGACTTTGAACATAATGACGAACAAGGGAGCAGTATTACAGCGATTGTCTTGTACATCAGAACCAATTAAGCAAACATTGACAGGTTCCGTGAAGGACCTATCAGAGCTTTCATCAATAACCAGACAATATAAATCAATAACTGGACATATGACGACTGAAGGTTCACGTAATGACCATGTATGTGACCGGTAGACAACTAAAAATCAATGAGCGGACAGATCGGACAATACAAATCAATAAAGGCTCTATTTGTTATTGACAAGAAAAACATAAGAAACCAATATCTTGGTATATTAATGGGACACAAAGTTGTCATATTTACAGTATATATCTTTGTTAATTGATTCCATAAATATAACTGTATATGTTGGGAAATCAGGACAAGTTCACTTTGCTTTGAATTAAAACATCAATTGTTTCACACATTTTTCTTTATGAATAAAATTATTTTATCTGACAAGAGCGTATTTCATAAAATTATTTTAATTTGAAAAATTTCATTTTAGATTTAAATGAATAAGGAGTTAGATAATCTCTCAGCTATATGCCAAATACATTGACAAAATAAGAAAGGATAATATTTGGAAATAAAATTTGTAAAGAAAATATCTCAGAGAAATACTAGTAGTTAAATTTTTGAAACGCAATTAAGATTTGTTTGAGTCTTAAAAATTTTTATGCCGTTAAGTGTTAATGACTTTCAGGATCCACACTACTGAAGGATCTCGAACAATTCATTTCCATGCAAAACAAAAGCAATTAATGCCCTAGCACATGTTGTTTGTGGTTAACACCTCTGTGAAATTTTCTGTTGCCACAGTTTATTTTGGTCATACAATAGTCAAAGTTCTTGGCAGAATTAAAGAGAACTTAAAGTCTCGCAGAAGCTACAGTGATTGAGGTTCTGGGTGAATCCCAGTAGCAGTTTCAGAATGGCTAGTACTTACTTGGCTGTTGTGGCCTCTTCATACTTGGCTTTGACTTCAAACAACTCAGACTGCACATTTTCTAGTGCTAAAGAAAACAGAGATAAAAATAAGAAAAAATGTGCATTTAATAAAAATTAAGTTCAATCATGCTTGCATATGCAGCACATATTTTGTTGGCATACAATGACAGGCCCATACCTGGTACTTGTATCTCCCATATCGACTTTGACTAACGCTTAATTCTGATAATTCCTATCATAAATGAATCAAGATTATGTAATTTTAGAAGCCTAAAATCCTGTTGATCACCTCAGAGCTACACAAAATAAATCACAGGTGCTCATTCGATGGATTGCACTAAAATGATAGCATGCTGATCAAAATGGAATACCAAATTGAAACAAAAAATTACTGATTGGCATTAATTTCTTTTAGCGTCCAATTAAAAATCAGCAGAGTCTAAATATAATTGACCTTGTTTATGAAATATACACTATTCTGCATTTGAATTCACTCCTTGACCCAGCATGTCAATTTCACAGTTTCTGTCAATATCAACTCCTCTCCTTCTTAATGATATAATGTCCATATCGGCCCATCCACAAATAACTTAGAACAATGGTGGGTCATCCCTCTGTCAATTTCGGTAATTGTTGACAGTGGGCCACGATTTATGTCTGACAGCCAATCAATTTCTTGTGTCCTCTTTGCTATTAATTCACCATCATTAAGAAATTCCTAGCCTGAGTTTGCAACATAAATTATCATACAGCCGTAACGTTATCATATTGTTTGTTTCGACCTTATACAAAATGGACTGTTTCACAACTATCCCTTTTAAAAAAAATTTTTTGGCATGTGGTAAATTCCAATACATACACATTTACCACATTGGTAACCACCAACAAAAATTGGTAACCTCACAGCAGTATCATTTACTACTCAAAGACGTTAGAGTGTTTGTTAAATTCTTCCATCAGACAACGCATTTTATTTTACTGCAAAAAATAAATCAACGAGAAACATCAACTTATCAAAATCTTTCAATTTTCATAATAAATATTTACAAATTTGATTGACTTTATGATACAAAATCAAATCAAAATTTTAAATCATATGTTCATTGTGAATAAATTAGACAAAAGTGATATTAATTTATGATAATTGCAACCACAATTAATATGCTTTCTATGTAAATCAGATCTGTTGACACTTGCCAGGATAGAGCAGCATGTGTCAGATTCATAGAAAATGACATTGATTCGACATAAGCATAAACAAATATATGATCCCATTGATATCTATATTCTGACCATGTAAGAGACTGAATACATGTGATCCTCCAATAGATCACTTTTGTTGCTTTCAACATCTTAAAAAAAAAATTAACAATGCAGTAAAAATAATGAAGAGACTAAATGATTTTTTGAATGTTCTAAACTGTTATAATGAAATTCGATTTAAGATTTTTTTTTTAATTCTCTCAATCTAATTTAAATCAAATGATATTATTAAATAAAATCCAGCTTGATTATCTGAAAGATTTTATTTGAGTGTTTTAAAATAATTAATTATCAAGTTTATCAATTAACACTTATTTTTTCTAATTACAGAACACTTTGGTTTACTTCTCTTCAGAATCTAAAAACACTGAAATTTAGCAAAGATAGTGTAATTTGTGTTTACTTAAAGAGAAAATAACTGATATTTGTATGCTCACATATAGAAACCAGGGAAAATTCTATACAAGTATCCCTGACAGTTTTAATTATATATACATAATTATAAATAAACTTCACTCGACAATTTCAATTTTTCTTGAACATCCATCCTAAACAAATTCAAGATACATGGTACATGTATTATTTAAAAAAAAAAACTAGTTTCTTCTTTAACTACATGTACTTTCACTTAGATATAATAGTTGAAAATTTTTTTTTTTAAATCCATTTTTCTTATTAATATATTTTAAGTTTACATAAAATGAGGAAGAAATAAAATACTGAGATTTTTTCCTTCCTTCATAAAGTTTTTTTTTTAAATTAATGCATTCTTCTGAATTATAGTTGATCTTTTTAAAATGAATTTGTTTATTTTAATCTTGCCTACTCAATATCTCTGAGTATTATGCAGCTTTAGTGTTATAAATGGTGTAGTTTGGTATCATAAGCAATTTCTCATCATAATGTACACAGTGTCTAATGCTTGTGACTTTTTTTTTGTTGGACACAACATAACTACATCTGGGTCATACTAAACGTAACAGACCAGAAAACCACTGTCGCCGGCAAGCCAGATTTCTTTTTTTTAATACATCTCTTGTGTACAGTGAAATTAAAAAAACAAAACTGATAGTAATGTTGAGCTTCCATTACGAGCATGCTTGTGTTGGTGATACATGTATTTCTCTTGATGGTGAACATTTGGTAAATTTTCACAGTTGATGTAAAACTTACTGGTATTTTATCGAGTGAAATTGTCTTATGTGTGAAGAAAATGGGGATCAGTGAAAAAAGTGGAGAATTTAATGGGTTTTTTTCCCCTTCCAAATTATGACTGATCTAGAGGCAAGTAAATTGCTTTAAATTTACATTTATTTATCTTCCTTTTTGAACACAGAAATACAGAACTAAACTTAATACTGGTAGATATAGATTTAGTGTCAATTATTTTTAAACACAACATTTTTTTTATGACTTGTATTTTTTTTTTTTTTTTAAATTCTACACATTACAAATATAAAATGTTTTCTTTTCTTTGAAATGACCATTCTCAAACCCATGAATCAAAGTCAACGGCTGCTGTGTTCTCTATAAATTAATTTAGTTAAGCAGATACATGTAAATAAAATAATGCCAGAAAAATACTTTTAAAAAAATCCTTTCTTAATGAACTAGAAAACTTTAAATTGAAATAAAAATCTTATCTTAGTTGAAGATTTTGAGTTTAGATTATTTAGGTTTAGAAATTAGTATAGTAATTTGTGCATTTTAAAAATGTACATCGTTTTAATCCAAAGACCTAAAATTGAAATTGCCTATAGAGTTACAACTTATAGTTATTATTTGTTTCTAATGATAATTTTATATTTATTGAAAATATCAATTTCAAATTTTTTAAAAAATGAAAAAGAAAACAAAAATGTCTTCAAAATAACTATTAAAATTATAATGTTAAAGGAATGAGACTTCAAAATATTTCACTTCTCTTCAAAATGAAAACAATAAAACATAATAAACATTCTAACAACAACACCCACAAGTCAACTTCTCTAAGAGAGGAAGAAATTAATGGATTTTAACATTTATGAATCAGGCTTGTTTTGGGGGAGTTAGTTTTGTCCACCACCTACTACCGACTCCTCATTCAGACACTATACACCTACCGCTTTGTAAAGAAGCAACCTTCTGTTCAGCTTCCCCGAGCTTCTTGGCCACGGACAATTGTGTCTCCTGTAGCTGTCTCTCTTTTTCCGTAAAAACTCGCTGCAGTTCCCTTTCCTTTTCTTTGCTTCTGGCCTAATATGCACAATCAGTCCGATTAACTTATGAACAAAATTTGTACAAGAATAAATTTTTCTGAAAATAATCAAGTCCAATCAAAAATCACTATTGATGGGTAAAAAAAGTCCTAAAAGTGAAATGATCAAAGTTTGAAATCAGAAGGACCAAGGTGTCAGCAGGTGTCCAACAAGTTTGAGAGTGCCAGGGAAATAGATTAACATACATACGTACTGCCGTGTGATTGATTCCCTGTTCACTATCGTATTAGCCAGCCATGCGTGACTGTTAAATGAGCGCAAAGTATCAGACCCTCGAAAAACCAAGAATCAATGTGACAGTCGCTCAAGCATTTGTTGGTCAAGGCTGACCACTCATTCAACAATTAATGTCACTGGAATATCTCTTTATTAATTATCTATATGAGGACTTAATATCTATTGTGGAACATGAAGGGAAAAGATGTATGCTACATTTATATACTACATTTATTTTTATTTAACTCAGATCAAAAATTAAATATTAGTTTCATTTTATGTTATACATGTAATTCATTTTCTTAAGTATTAAAATTATGACTTGAATTCATGTTATATTAGCTGAAATTTATCTTAATGGTTTATCATTTTCACGACTAGTTTTGTCTCAGAGACTACTGCATATACAAGTATGTCAACTGCTCTGAAGAGAAATCACACGATATATATATATATATATATATAATTAATTCAAAAGGATTATATCTTGATCACACATTATCCAGAATTTACAAATATATATAGAAAAATTAATGAAATGTATTGATTATTTGTTTAACATAATTTAGACTCTAATAAGCCTTTGCCATAATGATTATTTTTTTTGTGGGGGGGGGGGGGGGGGGGGGAGAGTAAGGAGATAGATGAATCCTCCAAACCTTCATTTCTTTCCAGAATTTTTTTTCACTTAAACTTGTTATCCCACCCAAAATAATTATTTAAAAATTCAGGAAAACCTAACACTAAATGACAGTTTAAAAAAAAAAATCTTTACAAAAGAAGAAAAATGCTCAGCACAGCCTAGGGTGTTGAAGGCATAATATTGATTAGTAAAATACAAGAGATATCCTGACTAACATTTCCTGTGATCGGAGAAACATCATCACATACCAAAGCTTGTCACCAAATTTGTCTAAAATGCTGTTAACACATTTGTCTTCAATACTTCACTTCAAGCTTCTTGTTAATTAATAAATTTAAAGAAAACTCTTTTCTACTTTTTCAACCAATTAATTATGTAATATTTACAGAAAAAAATGTTAAAATTTAATTAAAATTTTCAGACACTGTAGCATTTAAGTTGCGGAAATAAAAACCAACCATTTCAAAACATTGTTTATCATTTTCTAACTACCAAATCTGATTTCAAAATTTAAAGAAATACCAAAAAATAATCCAGTTTATTAATTCCTGGTTCATTCAGATATCCCCTAAAGTTTTCTTTTAATCTACATTATAACTTACTCTAGCTTTAATTAATATTGCCTTCACAACTTTCTCAGCATATTACATGATAAAATTACATCATCAAAATCAGGAAATTTATTTCGGAAATGATTTTTGAAAAATGGGTAGCTTACCGAGAAAAAGAACTTAAAAACATTAAACTTTATAAATACATAATGCAAAGAAATTAAAAAAAAAAGGGAATTGGAATGCTTAATTATGAATATATACATAACTGACACCTCTTAGAAATTTACACAAATTTTTCATTAAATAGGATCTAGTAAGAATGGTGAAACTTATGACAATAAATAATTGCTCATACACTGTATATGTATAACATACCAAAACAGTCTGTTACTAACAGAGAAATCATTCATCATTTCAACATCCCTGGATAATTGTAGTTTTATTTAGATTAACAGTATATTTTTAATTTCAAAAATCTAGAATTAAATTATTTACTAGTGATAACAATAAAATGAGGACTATCAAAAAATATAGAGATTAATTTTTAATCAGGGGACAAAATTATCACATTGTTTGAAAATATTGTGAAATAAATTGGGAATAATACAATTAAAGTTACAAAATACGGTCTAGTTTTAAAGTTTGACTTGATCTTATCTACACTAAGAGAATCTACAGTTTGATAGAAAACATTCACGATTGATTTCATCTCATTAGCAAGTGATGGATGGCTGGCCACTCTCCTTTCAACATAAATTTAAATTATTGGTTCATTAAACATTTGATTAATTGATAATTACCAAAGTCTCTTAAAATGCCTGATTTATCAATCAAAAAGTCACATTTGTCACGAGGACAACTAGCCATTTCAAATAAACTCCCAAAAACACCCTCCCTCCCTGATTGTCTTATTTTTAAATCACATGATCAGACTTCTAGAGTTGCCTCCCTTTTTACCTCTGCAGTTGCCTCGATCTTATCTTCACACTCTTTCAGTCTGTCTCTCAGCTGCTTGATTGTCACCTCTACAAAAGTTACAATATATTGTAGACAAAGAGTATGGCCATCACATTTACTTCAGAAATAAATTTCATAGGTTCTGGCCATTTATTGCAGGTAAAACAATGTGTACTATGTGATCATTCCTGATTTTTTTTCCTGCCAATAAATAGAAGGGTTAGGGTACAGAATATCAGAGAGTGATAGATGGAGGAGATTTTATTGAGCCTCTCCCTCCCATAAGTCCCCCCTATCTGATACTTCATGGAAAAGATTAATATCTCTGTGAATTATCTCCTTTCAATATCTTATATGTCACAAAATCAACATCTGACTTAAAATATCAGCAAGTAAGACACACGGATTACACACGTACAACAGATTAATAGGGTTCAATCTGTATCCACTTATTGATTACAGAATGTGTGATTTAAACACTATGTCCCATTTCTTAGTCCAGTCCTCAACACTTCATGTAGTGTTTGGAAATGGATATATAGGAAGAATTGAGAAGTTTTAGAATTTTCCCTCACATTTTCTGTCCTAATTTAGGGACTCTAAATGCATGTGGTATAGTACGTAAAACAATGTATCATGAAAATATATTAAATGATTCTTTCCCATACAGCATGTTTTTAACAAATACTAAAACAGCTGATTACAACCTTGAGACACAATATAAAATGTCACAAAAATTATCACTAATAACAAGCATTGAGAAAATTAAATGTTCAAAGGTTAAAAGCTTTACATAATCAACAAATCTGGGGACATGTAAGGAAAAAAAAAGATCTGTTAACAGAGCCATGTTGTGTTCAAAATATAAAATCACAATTTAAGAAAATGGTGGCATAATTTTAACTTTTACCTTGATTCTTAACCTCAGCAAACTCGTGATTGTATTCCTCAAGCGTGTCTCTCAGCTGCTTGTTTTCGATCTCGAGATCAGATACTCTGTGGGCCTTCTTCTGAATTTGGAGAGCATACTCCAATACAGGCACAGGGTCTGACGGAAAAAGGGAGAATAATCATCAAAGAATGGACAAAATGGAATTAATGTGATTTAAACATTTTATCATATGTAAAATTCAAACAGGTCTAGCTGTATTTCTGACATCCAAGATACAAAGTTTAAAATAACACCCAAAATATCCAAAGTAAGGGAGATAATTCATCAATATATCATGTCAACATATACCTGTATAGACTCAGAACTTAAAAAATGCTTGCAATGGCACCCTGACATATGCTTAAACTGTACATGTAGCATTTAAACCAGTGTATAAAATACTATTTTTCCAAGTTTTCAGACCCTAACATCAGTAAAGACTGACAAGAGGCAATAAGCCTGTCTGGCTTACCTGGAAGGTCGATAATTCTCTTATAAATAGATAAAAAGGCTGCTTCTGCTGCTTTGCTTCTCTTGGACAAGGAATCTACTTCTGACTGGAAACTCTTCAGTAATGGGGCTACAAGTTTTCTTATGTCCTGAAAAAAAAAAAAAATCAGCAACTGAAACAAAACCAAGGCCTGTGTTGTGAAAACCACAGAGAAAATTCTTCTTTGCAGTCTGATTTTATCCATTTTCAATTTAATCAAAATTTTTAAATTCAAAACACTTGAAAACGGATCAATAAAGATAATTACTCTGTCAGATGTTGTAACATAAAACACTCAGAAGTGTGAGACATCCACTTATAAAGCATTATAAAACCTGCAGGCTAAACCCCTTTCCCTCCAAGTGAATTAAATTCCTCCCATCCACTTAGATAACTTTTGTATACATTCAATGTTAGGAGAGACGCAAACTGCATAATTCAATATTCAATATCAATGTTTGGTGTCACATGACACCCACAAAATAAAACAAAGGAATGTGGTCCCCACGGTCTGCAGTTTCTCCAAGGCTTTTGTCCTGATAACAGGTAGAAGAGTCAGTGATACAAAATTCCAGCACATCCTAGAGGTGTTTCAAGACAGACACATCGAAGCTAAGGGGTATCGTATGGAAATCGGGGTCTCTCAATTCTTCCCCTCATCTACAGC